GGGCAGGGGAGGAGGGAGGGCAGGGGGAGGAGCCCGGGACACCTTTAAAAGGAGCCCCCCGGAACGCGCGCCTCCCCCCGATTCCCGCCCCGGCGTGAGGGGAGGCCGGTGAGCGGAGCCTCGGGGACATGGGCAGCACCCGCCGAGCCGCAGGAAGGCTTCTGGCACGGCCTCCTGGAACATGCCTAGTGCTGGAGGAGGTCAGGAGTCTCCTCTCTGCTCTGGCTTCCCGACGGAGTTACTTCTTGTGTCTCCCTGATGAAGGTACGTGCTGCCTGCACCTCTGTGAGGCGGCAAGGGTGCCTGAGCCACGAAGCAGTTTTTAGAGGGAAGGGCTGCCTTAGTTTTGTTCAAACTTGGCTCTTCCCGAACCCATTATTGATGTAATCTTAACCTTCTCCTAAGGTATGGCTTCACCTTACACCACAGATGTTAGTTCCCTACAAAATTATTCTATTTTCTTGTTCAAAAGACAGCTAAAATGCTGATTTGGGGTATAAATTAGCCTTGTTTTCTTTATGGGGCAAGAAGATTACTTTTGGGAATGATGTAATTGACACTTTCTGTAATCATTTTCTCCCTCCCTTCAATCTGAGGTCAATCAGGTGTAGGGGTTGCAGCAGAAACCTCTTCTAAACCAGGACTTGTAGTTCTGGAAGAGGCTGCACCAGCTGGAGAGCCGCCTATTACCCAAAGAGGCTTCCCCAAGAAGATATATTATGGAACAAATGGAGTAGCTGCAAAATAATTGTCATTCTTGGAAAGGGAGGACTGTGTTGGCTTCAAGCTCCAGGTGTGCTGTCTGTATGTGGAGGGGTTGCACTGCCATGGTGGTCTGTGTGCACTGAGCAGGCAGGGCAGGAGCTCCCAGAGACCAGCAGCGAAAGGAGCATCTAGGAGAAGCTGTGAAGCTCCTCAAGTATGGAGTGTGTGGCTGATTGTTCTTACACAGGCAACGCAGTTTTGGGGACAAAACCAAAAACAAGGTCTGTTCCATCCTGAACGATTTTGAACTACATGCTTTGGCCTCTTGGAGTATTTAATGTTCATTAAATCCGGCTGCATGTCTGGGAAATGTTTGTTAGCCAGTTTTGGGACTTCTCTGTGTGTCCTGGGCCTCTCTTGTGCTGATTGGTTACACCTGATTGGATTGTCACACCTGTGTTCTCCTTAAAGTCAAATGTCTCACACCTAAACAGAATTAGCTGATGATTCCCAGCTGGCAGAACTTTCATGGGTTATAGAATTGCCTCTTCTGTGGTTATGGAGAGGTTATATACACAAAATTGCTTGAGCTGTATATGTTTAATTGTACACATGAATTTACAGCAATTCCTACAAAATGGATTTGCTAGTAATTTATCAATGTGTTTTCCCTCAATTATGGGTTTGCTCCAGTTCCTTCCCCTGTTCTGTTCAGCAGGTGAAATGATGATGCGTTACTACCTCCCACAAGTCCCTTCCCTATGCTCTTGCTTAATCCCAGTTAAGAGGCAGAGGATTGACATGTACAGGGAGTGCCTCTGGGACTTAGTGAGGTCTTGACAGTTTTTGCCTGGTGCTTGTCGGGTTGAAGTGCTGAGGCCTGAACAACAGGCCCTGATCCAAAGCTGACCTCTCCATGAACCCTCCAACCAAATGTTATATGTAGCCACTCATATCAACCAATACCATTAGCATGATAGATATATCTTCTCATTGTCAAAACATGTGGTCACCTTTCCCTATTTAGGAACTGGATAAAGTCAGGCGTGCAGGGGAATTGTTGGAACATTCCCAGCAAATATATTGAGTGTGATGGGCTTGTGATGTTCTGCCTTCAGCCCAACAGCTTCATCTCCCTGTTGCATTTATTTGTGACTCACTCATGCTGCAGTGGAGACTTCCCCTTCCTAAACCACATAATTCCATTGTATTATTCCAGAAATTAGGTGTTCTTAAGGCTCTCTTCTCCCTGTCAACCCTCTGCTCTCAGGGTTTTGAGTAAGACAAGTTTTGTGTTCATTAAATTTGAAGTCTTGGCTTTTGAGAAAATCAGCTGAAAGCTTTTCATTTTATTGTGGACAAATAACTGGGTGTGAGCTTCTCTCCAGGCAGCTGTGAGCAGGTCTGTGCCTTTCCTAAATGGAACTCCTTGCTAACAAGTACTCCCTAAAGGAGCTGCAGTAATGGTGTTTGCTTTGTCCTTGGGGTTTTATCAAAAACACCAAGTTGTGCTTTGAGTGGACTCCTGTGGTACAAAACTGGAGCTCTGGGGTCTTGTCAAGTCAGTGACTATGTCTGACACTAGACACAGCTTGAAAATTATCCCTCTCTAGGATTCTCCTAAGGAGCACAAAAGAGATTACTTGCTGGAGACAGAGTCAGGGGTATGTGATGCACTCAGGGACTCCTACCAAGGAAGGAGAGCTGCAGAACCCCTGAACAGTCTTCCTCCCACCACTCCAAAAACTGCTCTGCAGGCTCCTGTTCTCTATAAGCTCCTTTAATTTTGACTTCTCACATCTGAGGGTCCACTAGAAAGCTTGAATTCTGCTGCTACCTGTTGCAGTGGGATGTTTGTTTGCTCCCCAAAGGTCCCTGAAGGATGTAGCTAAATGAATCTTGTTATTGATTTCCCATGATCACAGTCAGTGAATAGCATCCCAGTGCTGCAGGATAGGGATGACTTAATTAAGGGAAGATTGCTGGCCTGAGATTGACTCTCTCCATGCAGACCCTGCTTCTGAGAGGAGCAGAATGCTGGATGGGCTGCCTGGGACATCTCTCTGAGCTGTGCAAAGGCCTTTTCAGGGAGGAGGAGAACGCTGTAGGTTGAGGGTGGATATTACAGAAATGAGAGCTTTGGGCTAGCATGTGAAGAAGTGAAATTTGTGGAAGGGCTGGGGGAGACCATGGCTGATACCTGTTCAGTTCCATGAACTGAGTAGGCAAACAGTTGGAGTAAGTTGGGCTGGTGGAGTTGGAAGGAAAGTTGATGAACTTAAGAGCAGAAAGGGGCTTTTCCCCCAGTATCCTGATTTCCTGAGCGGTGTTTTATACTGGAGGTACTGGGGGGGAACTGGCTGCATCCACCTCCAGGAGTGGTACAGGTTGCTTTCCTGTTCTTGTTACTCTGCTACTCAAGTGTACCATGGGATGGGCATGTTGTTTATGTGCTGCTGCTGCTCCTCATGCTCTTCCTTTCCTGTTAATGATCTGTCTTGGAAAGTCTTGCTCTTTTCCCAGCAGTCAGGAATGGCATGGTTCAGCCAGCCCTGGGTAGCAGTGACCTGGCACTGCAGGAATGTATGGGATGTTTAAATATGGTGTGATCCTGCTTGCAGCACTCGCTGCGCTGGCTGGAAGTACCCCGAAAGCTGTCAGTGCTGTAAACACAATGCACTCTGCCCAGTGAGCAGTTAATTATAGGCCTAACCATGTCTTGGTGGTTGGACAGATAGTTTCTTGGGGTTTGGGGTTTTTTTTTGCACAAGACCTCACTGCTTTTATGGTTTTGTGGCATCTGTGGCCGCTTCTCTGGGCCATAGTCCACTGCCCTCTGACTTGTGCAGATCAAGCTGAAGAGTCGTGCTGAGAACTGTCAGGAGTCCTTGTGGTTTCAGCTTGAAGTGAGACACAAGATATGCCCCTGTACACACACTCAGCAGTTCTTCTCTCCAGGGTGGTGAGAAAATACTGGCTTTGTGGTCTCAATGGTATCATTAATCCTTTCTGGATTGCCAGCGCTTTGAGGGCAGAGCAGCCACAGGAGCAGTGGGATGGGTTGGCATTTGCAGAGCTGGGAGTTCATTGCTGATGTGCAGTGTCACAGCTCTTCACTAGAGGACAGCATTATACACGGCAAAGTAATTATCCTGCAACAATGCTGGGAGAGACGTTTTACGGATTTTCTGTGTGCCAGGAGTAAGCTGGGGTGGAGGTTACAGAGTATTTTGCTGGAAGTCAGGAGCCATCCTCTCAGGGAGATTTAAGAGTGTGGCTTAAATCAGTGTCTGCAAACCTTGTCTGAAGGGTGATGCTGCCTGCCTTGCTGCTGCATGCACCTTGGGGGAGATACAGGCTGCTGGATAGGTAGCACGGACAGAGAAGGAAGAATATTAAACAAAAAAAAAAAAAAAAAGGAAACGTTTGCATCTCCAAACTGTTGCAGCAAGTGGCTGGTTGGCTGGTGGTGAAGGCATGGGAGGAAAGCAAGGAGACAGAGGGATGTGGGATGAGTGTGCACTGTGTGATGTGCCTTACAGGAGAGAGAAAATAAAGGATGGTTTGAATAAACAAATACTGTTTGAGTGCTGCTGTTCCTGCCTGCTCTGATGTTGAAGCTCTCTGCAGAGGGCAGGACTGCTGCTCTATCCTATCGTGGCTCCATCAGCCATCTCTGCATGCAAGGGACAGAGGCTCCCACAGAGCAAGGAGTGTGAAGTGGAAGATAAGGAAAGCTGGGCTGGGCAAGAGGGAGGGAGCTGCAGCTTTTGTGACAACCTTTGTGCAAGTGGGGGTTTGGCCCTTGCTGTTGGGCATCACATGGCCTTGTAGGGCAGCCACCAGCTTGGGCACTGCTCTTCATGCTGCTTGTGTTTGGTTGGGTGTTAATTATGATTTCATTAGTTATTGAATTAAGGCTTTATTCTGTAGGGGAAGCTGATCTTGAGCGACACGTGAGTTAAGCTGTAGCAGGATTCTTGCTTACTTTCTTTGTGAGGCAGAGAAAGCTGATGAATATCTGGGTGTGAGAGAAAGACAGAAGCAGCCTCTCAGTGAGGCCCTAGCAGGAAGGTTCTGGGAGGAAGCACTCTATGTTCACAAAGCTGTGATAATTGATAATACCAGTCAAACTGCTGGATCCAGTAGCTATGACTGATCTCACCTGCCCTTGGCAGTACCAGGTGGCAAAGCTCATCCCACCTCTCACTGCTTTGGAGCTGTGACCTCCAGAGCCTTCCTGCAGTGCTGTGAGTGTTCCAGAGGCTGGGAGGACTGCAGCACCTCTGAGCAAGATTGATGCTCTCTATTCTCTCCATTGCTGCTCCCTAATTTAAAGGGAAACAGCCCTGAAGCTGCCCTGGCCTTGCAGAAGAGACCAGGCAAGTTTAGAGAACTTTCAGTCCTCCCTACACCCTTTGTCATCTTCTGCTTCTCTGCTTGGGAGTAGCCACTTTCCCTGAGAGTGGGATCTTGGTGAAACTGGCTTAGCTGGGCCTGGAATATCCCAGTGACCCTAAGGAAAGAGAGCTAACAGCCTTCTGTTGGATAGCCAGTTCCTGTAAGTGCAAGATTGATAAGTGCAGAAAATGCCATGGTAGCTGGAATTGTAGAAGCTCTCTTATTCCCAGGTTTTTTTTGGCAGGTAAATCCCTTGAAAGACAAAGGATGTTGGGTTTGCTCAGAGTTCTCTTTTCCTGCAGCAGGGAGCTCTGATTCCTGCCTTTATTTATTTTTAAGTTGGAGCACTTGCTGGAGTTCCACTTAATCTCTCCTGCCTCTTGCCGCTAACACCTGAGAATGCCCTTAGGATTCCTTCAGTGACCAAACCCCAGCTGTCCAGGCTGCTTCGAAGTGCCAGACTTATCAGGGCTGGGCAGAAAGGAAGGAACAAAACATGCAGTTGGCTCCCCTTGCACAGTGAGGGGGTTTGTTCCCCCTTCTTAGAGAGTCTGTGCTACTTTTGCCAGCAGCTTGTTCCTCTTGAGCAATGGTAACCTTGGCTTTGATAGGAGATGAGGATGACATCCCACCATGTGCCTGGGAATCCACAGCAATCATAGCACAGTTATTTCCACTTGTAATTAGTTGTGAGGCTCTGTCTCTGACGAAAATTGATCTTGCCCATGTCAGGCTGTTTCATAAGCTGCTCTCCAGGTTAGCCAGTGCCTGTCAGCCAGTGGAGCTCCTTTCCTCCTCTGCTGCCCACATGGAATTCCTTCATTCCAAGATCAGGAGCAGAGACTTGTTTTGGCTCTGCTTGCCTTTAACCTGTTCTGGTTTTGGTCACCTGCCTGCTGCTTTGTCACTATAATCCCCACCTTGCCCACCTCTCCTGTTCTGTGTCCCACGTATCTGCCGCAAAGCCAAGTGACTCTGCGGAAGAGCACAGTTCCTTGAGACTCTGGGAATGTTTTATTTCAGCTGGGGAATTTCCAGCTGCCCTGCTGGTCTGTCTCACTTTGAGGATGACATTCAGAAGAGCCCATAAGAGAAAGGAAAACTTAAGACTGGACAGTGCAGTGCGTGGCCTCAGAAATGGAATCTGTCCAGAGCAAGGAATGAGTTTGCTTCCTGGGACATCTGGCCTGTTGCATGAAGGGGGCAGTCTGCTTGTGTAGCCAGAGCTGAGCTGTTCTGTAACCACAGCTGCTGAAGCAGTTGGAGCATTTCTGGCAATGCCTGTAGTTCGTCAAGAGAGCATTTAAGGAAGTTGAGTTGCGGAAGTTCACCGAGCCGGGTGCCTCACCAGCACAGCTCCAAGGAGTGGATCCCTCCCGGAGGGGCGGTGGGTGTTCGTGCCCACAAGCAGCCCAGCCATCGCCAGCCTTCCTCTGGGTGACCTTGGGTGAGGCTCTGCTTGCCTGGAGAGCAGCTGATTTACAATGCAGATTCATCGCTCCTCGCCTGCCTGTCCCTGCCCCTCCTAAATTGGGCTGGGATATAAGAGGTTGTTTGCTCTCCGATGCCAACAGTGGCCATGGCAGAACGCCCTGCCACGTGAGAGGCAGAGATAGAGGAGAGGGGGCTAAGGAGGAGTGAACTGTGCAGCTGCTCTTGCTTCTGGTAGCTGAGGAGCACATCTGCAGGACCATGTCTCTGCTGAACCCTGTCCTGCAGCCCATGGAGGTGAAGGAGTACCTGTGCAAGGGTGACCGCTTCATCAAATGGGATGATGTGAGTATTGGCATGTTCCTTCCCTAGGCTGTGCCTGTGGTGGCAGGGAGACATTGGTTGGGTCACAGTTTGTGGGGAGGCTGGGAGCCTGTGTTCGGTGTGATATCCCACCTGACAGCAGAGATCTCTGGACAGGGAGAGGGAAATGGGAAGAACAGGAAAGCTGAGGACTAAAATTAAGGGAGTGTGTGTAAGGGGTTGGGGATGTGATTTCTACACTTCTTGTAGTGGAGGATGGAAACAAATGGAGTGAGTGTGCACTGGGTCTGTGTGTGCAGCCCCTGGCGTAGGACACAAGGTCCAGCCCTTGGGAAGGTGGTTGCTGCTGGGAGTCTCTGTGGGATGAGATACAAATGCCACATTTGGACTTTCTGGAGGAGCATGAGGGGTAGTATCTACTCCAGAGCAGAGAGCACTCACTGCACTTTGCAGATAGAGATGAAATCAGGCTCCAAGTTGCTTCCTCTTATGGCCCTGTTGCCTGAGTGGATCGGGGGTGAGCCATGGCCTCCCACGCCTGCCCGGCCTCTGGGTCTGGGAATGACTGAGCAGTGAAGGGCCTGTGCTTTAACAGGGCTGAAGCCTCAGGGAGCTGCAGCAAGCTGCTGCTCTCTCCAGCTCATTGTCCTCTTTACCTTCAAAACAGCTGCTTTGCAGTCACTGCATTTCTGTATGAGGGGAAGAAAGTATAGAGCAGCAGCAGTTCATTGGAAGGGGAGGGCTGCCCTCCTCACTTTCTAAGGAGGCAAAGGAGTGCTTACCCCTGCACCCACAAACCTGAGCAGGGGGAGAGCAGCTGCCCACCTGTGCTGTCTGGAAATGGACTGTCTGCTGTTGAGCATGAATGTTGATAAAAGGGGGAGAGCCCAGATTATGGTTATTCACAGAGATCTGGGGAGATGGTTCATGTGGTGTTGCAAATGAGATGGTCAGAAGGAGCCTGCAGCAGCAGCGCAGGAGGGATTAGCACTTCTGTGGGTATGAACCTGGAATAGAGGGTTAAGTCCCAAAGGAGCGTGTGGGGGAGTGGATCACCTATGAGCAACATCAGCAGGGTGGTCCAGCAGCACTGAGAATGAGAGCAGTGTCCTGTGCAGCTGGCAGGAAGGATGGATGTGAGGAATGAGTTGGAATATGGCTGCCAGCTGCTCTGTTAGCAGTGCAGGAAGGAGGATGACACTGGGGTGCAGTGAAAAGCACAGCCTTCCTCTTCCCTGTGGGCCCACTGCCTGCAGAGTGCACTGGGAGCTTCTTGGAATTTGAAATCTGCTTTCTCAGAATAACAGTAGCAAAACTTGTCTAAAATTATTGATGACTGTGTGCTCAGTCCTTGGGGACCACTCTCTCAAGAACTGGAAGCTGTTAAGTGCTTTACTGGGTGTTCCTGGGATGGGTTCCCCTGAAACCCAAGGTAGGTCAAGTTGGGTTTCCAAGACCCACCAAGTGTTTATTTCCTGCTGTAGCTGTTGATTAGTGAGCTCAATTCCTGCTGGATCTTTCCTTAAGGTTTATATATTTGTAAACATTTTTAAGAGGTTGCCTCAACTAAGTAGTTTACAGGCTTGATCTCCACCAATAAAGAAAGGCTTTCTCCATGAGTGGGCTGTTCTGGTCACATTTCCATTGCATTGGGCTTTCCCAATCCATGGTTAGAACAGGCTGCAGAGATGATGGTGAGAGCTCCAGACTGCAGGATTGCTGTGCTTTAGAATTTGTGAGTGTTGTGTTTTTTGTATCTCTTTCAGTTGACCCGACTGTACTGTTGACAGTTTTGAACTCCTTCCAGGATAAGGGAGGCAAAGGAGTTAAGGAAGATCAGATTGGCCTCTTGCATCACTGTTCAGCTTGGGGCTGAACTAGGGCCTTCCAGCAAAAAAGCAAACCCACGCTTTTTCTACAGAGCCCTCACCTTATCCAGCTTTAGTAAGGCACTGTCTAGAGGAGAGAGCAACAAATCCCTGACAGGCAGGACTGTTCTGACCTGTCCCACAGAGTTGGTTGCAGGACCTTGGGGTAAGGAGCAGCTCTGCAGTGCTTTGTTCAGCATCCAGCAAGCTGGGGCTCCTAAGCAGACTGAAGAGGTGAAGTCCTACTGCATGGGTGGTAGCTGAATTAAAGAACAGCTGGAAACCGTGTCAGAATCCCAGGTAGGGCACAAGGTAGTAGCTGACCTCTTGAGCAGGGCAGGGTTTGGTTCTGTGATGCCTCTGAGCGCTTGTAGTAGAGTCAGAACTGTTGCTATCCCTGAAAGATTATGAATCACAGGATTTTAGCAGACAGTGTTTGCTTTTTGTCCCACAGCGTGAGAAGCGGCCATTTTGGCTGCCAGACCATCTTCTGTAGGATTGCCTGTTTCCTTTGCTGCCAGGAGCTGCCCCATTGGAGAGGCTGCCTGCACCCCCATGCAAGGCCTGGCCCTGCCCAGGAGTCTGGTTGGCAGCAGCTTCCTTGCAGCCTCAGCTTGCCCTCCAGAAAGGTGCTCTGTGGGAGATAAGGGTAATCTAGAACATGGCACAATACTGTGTGGTGGTACTATGGGGCCTGTTCTGCTCTCTGTGGCCATGTGTGCAGGGAGCCAGCCAAGACATGGGAACATGGATGTGATGCTGGGCAGGCCCTGGCGCAGTGGGAGGAAGACAGGAGGCAGTAAAAGGACTACAAACAATGTGCTGTGCAATGAGCAGTTTACTGTAAATATTGTGTATGGAAATGTTTCAGAATCCCCATCTAAAGCAGCATCATGATGCTGCATTGATGCATTCCCTTCTTGAAGCCTTCCTCACTAGGAGCCCAGATAATCTGCATGAACACCTGAATGGGAGATGCCATGCCTGAATGCTTTCTCTGCTTGGCCTGGGCTACTCCTGAGCTTGTAGAATAAAGCAGGTCAAGAAAGAAGACTTTTCAAATGAAACAAATAATTGAATCTCCAGATTCTTTGTTCTCTCAGTTCTTTGTGTAGAAAGCTCTAGGAGAGCTATTCTTGTTAAATGGATAGGTTAGGTGAGATTCAGGATTCAGCTTCCAGGGCCTCACAGGTGTCACTGTGGAGATGTCCTAAAATAGTTGTGTTTGTTTTCATAAATCCCAGAGGGTGTTCACCTGTCTGAGTCTGTGTTTGAGCTGGGAACCTGGTGTCCCAGGATGTTTTCTCCAAGTCACCCAAGGTGCCAACATTCTTTCTTTTGTTGTTTTTATTTATTTGTCAGGAAACATCAAATGCTTCTCCTGTGATTCTCCGAGTGGATCCCCAGGGCTTTTACGTGTACTGGACCCATCAGAGCACGGTAAGTGCTGAGACTGCACAGCTCAGGCTCCAACCAGCCAGGTCAGCTTTGTGTGAGATGACAACACTGAAACTGCTCAAGTCCTGCACTTGGGAGCAAACTGCAAAACTCATTCCTCTTAGCAGGGACACCCCACCAAGGAATGGGAGCTGGTCAGTGGCAGGTTGGTCTTCAGAGCACCAGGAAAGTGCAAGAACTGAAGGTTTGAGTGTGACCTTTCTGTGCCTTTCATACTTTCACCATTTTTGACTCCTGCAAAGCTCACTATGTGTCCTTCAAAGGACTTAATGGAGAACAGTTGTGCTGATGTTAACCAGCAAGAAACAGGGTTCTCCTAACCTGTACAGTGGGGCCGTTAAATGACTCATTGGGGTTTTAGATATTTTAACTAGAAAGTAGTGACCATAGTGATGTAGGGCCTGCATGGAGTTTGGAGGGCAAGTTGTGCTCAGGATGATGTTTACAGGCTGCTGGAGCAAAGCACAAGATGCCAGCTGCTGGAGGAGAGGGAGAGGCAACACATGGAGGAAAGAGAATTCAGTTCCTCACAGATGAGTAGCATCAAGGGATGGAGAGGGAGGTGGAAGCCTGGGCTTACTTCTGCTTTCCAGAGCAGGCTGTGGTTCAGCTCTACTTCCTCCGCCTGACCTACATGCCATGGCAGATTCAGACAGTCCTGCACAGGCCCTGGCCAGGGACCTAGTGGGTTTGGGTGAGCTTTGCCTTTCCAGAGATTGTGCCCAGTGCCAGCTGGGACTGGGCACTGCCACAGCCACATCCCCTGAGAACAGTGTCACAGCACTGGGGACTGTCACACCCTTTGATGTCTCTGTCACTCCTGTTCTGCTTTCAGGGTCCACTCAGGCAGTAGAATTTCTGTTCTTAGGGTTCCAGCAGGAAGAAGTGGAGCACAAAGTGATGCAAGGGAATCTGGTGTCACCATGGAAAGGGAGATACTTCATTGGGATGCTGGGGAAAGGAAGCATAGCTACCACAAGGAAACCCAGACTGGAAAGGGTCTGGCATTCCTGGAAAATGCTGTTGATCGGCAGCTAAAGTAAACTGAACTGCTTTTGCACTACAGACTCAGAAAGGAGTGGGATTAGGAGTAAAATTACTTCCTGCTTAACAATAAAACTGGGATACAGCCAGAAGACATAGCATCTGCATTGTCCTGTACAGCAATCTTGGAAAATAATATTATCTGCTGCAACAAGTATAATTTGTTCTCCAGACCCATGGTGAGAAGAAAAATTAGTAACAGAGGAAGGAAATTCAGGTTGGATATTAAAAGAACAAACAAGACAGTAAGCCAGGAGTGAGGACGTGGAGGGGCTGCCTGGGGAAGGCTGTGCAGTGTCCTCTGTGGGATTGGCTTCCCTCCCTGCATTGCACCTGCTGGGAGATCTCTTCCACAGGGAAAGACACTAAGCCAAACCTGATTTACAGCTTCTGGGGGCTCTGTCATGGAGTGCTTTCTTTCCTCCTTTGTCTTTCTTCATTTTCCTTGTCCTTATTCTGTTGTAGGAAAGGGAAATTCTGGATATCACCAGCATCCGAGACACCCGAGCAGGGAGATTTGCCAAAATGCCAAAGGTGAGTCCACAACTTCTTTCTGTCCAGTGCTTAAACAGAAAGGCAAGGCTGCCTGTGGTTTTGGTGGGCTCAGGCAGTTTGTCCTGGATTTCTCTAGAAGCAAGGCAGAGAGGATCTCATCTCCTATGTAAATACAGAAAAGCTGTTTTGTCCCTAATCTCCCAGGCCCCTGTGCACCCAAAAGCAGCACTCTCACACTATGGTAGATGGGCTTATTGGAAGGAATATGTCCTCCCAAGACAGGAAAACCAATTGCCCTTCCAAGTGCCCTGCTGCACTGGTAAGTCCTGCTGGGGACACTCTGATGGTTCTGCACTGAGTCACTGCTCTTGTGTACCCACAAACCTGGAGTTACAATGCCAATCCAACAGTGTGTGCTGGAGTTTTTCACTTTAAAGAGATGGAAATGCATTTTCAGAAAAATTAGGGGGTCTTTTGTTGGTTTTTTCCTCCCATGTATTTTTACATTTGCACATGATCGGGGCTTTGTTCTCTATTTCAGTTATAGTTGAAGCTTCTTGCAGCCTTTGTTAGGACTTTATTTCTGGGACTTCTTTATTTTTTGTTTGTTTTTAACTTTTCCATGTATGGAAAAGGCAAACAGAAAACTGCAGTAAAGCTCAAAGGTGGAAAAGGGACTGAAGAAGTAAAGCTGATGGGTCATGTGGTGACATAGGTGGCTCTCTAAAGCAAAAGGGAAAGGTTTTGCAATATCTCCTGAGCCTCAAGCAGCCTTTTGCATAAGTTGTGCAGCTGTTTTCTCAATCTGCTCTGAAAATGTTTATTCAGAGCTCCCCAAGACCAATATTTCTCAAAATACCATAATAAGGTGGGTGCTAAAGGCATGACAGAGAACATTACCCATCTTCTTAAAAAAATCATATTTCGTTCAGAGAAACTGCCTTTCTCCTTACAAATTCAGTAGAATGGAACATACTTCAGTTTTCAGTGAGCCTAGAACTTGGTCAGCAACTTGTTTTGTGGGAATTATACTTTAAAAATACTGTTTATAAAATTTGGGGCTGCCCAAATATTCGAGTTGGTGCTGCCCTCCAGATGGGACATACTAAGGAAGAGGCTGACATAAAGGAGAGGTATGAGATACTCTTTTCTAGGGTGTTAAACTTTGAGGAATAACTTGTTAGCAAAATGAATTGATCTTTGATATAGATGATAAATTGCTGGGGGAAGTACTGAGGCCATGGCTCCATGTCCTGGTGGTTACAGGAGGCTGGAAAAACATGTCCTAGATTTTAGGAATTTGTTAAGGAAGACTAATTGGAGAGTACCAGGAGAAGACAGTTTGCCAATGGTACAAAGTTATTTGAGGTAATAGAATCAGGCTGCTTTGTAGGAAGACCTTGAATTGCTGATTGACTGCATGATCTAGTGAGTGATACATTTTATACAGATAAAAATCAGGCAATGCACACAGAAAAAAATCCCTGATCCTTCTGTAATAACAGAAGAATTGTGTATTGGGAGTTATAAGGAAATCATTAGGAAGTCATGCTATTGTGTACATCTCAAATGGATCCATATTTATGTGCAATTCTAGTGTACTCTCAAATTAGGTAAGAACTGGAAAAGGCATGGAGGAGCAGCAGGATTAACAAAGGAATGCAGTGGCTGCTGAGGGCAGAGCATCTGAGTAGGAGGGACTGTGTTCTGGCAGGAGGAGTAAGGTGAATGGGATGTGGAGTGCTGTAGTATCAGGAGGTGGATGGAGAAGGGAAGCATGAAGCAGTTGCTCAAGGTTTCTTCCAGTGCAGGATCTCCATATAAGGTGGAATTTTCCAGAGGTAGGAGCAGCACAAGTAGGAGGTGCTGCTGCTGTCCCACCTCATATCACCAGGCCTTGGGTGATGCTTCCTGTACAGTCATGGCAATGTGAATATAAAATGTCAGTACAAGAAGGAAATGCCCTTAGAGGGTTATTGAATGTGAGATAATGCCTCTGGGTTAGGAAGCTGCTGAATCCTATATTGCTGGGGGCTGCAGGGATGTGTCAGGGAAGTGCCAGTGCATTTGCCCTGTTCCAGAACTTTTCCCATGGCACCTGGATAGAGCAGCTCTGTTCTAACTATTGTAATAGGCCAGGGATGGGATTTTTGTGTCCTGGGAATTGGCTGCAGCTCATTTTTGAAGAACAGCGAAGCAAAGTTCAAGCACTGACTGATTTATTAAGTATTCTCAGTGGGTAGAAGTGATGGACTTGATGACAACCTTTGCTGTGAAAATCCCAAGTGCTTTTTGAATTCTGTATTTTACAGAGATTATTTGAAATAAGTCCCCTTTTTATTTCAGGGAGTTTTCTGGAATTCTGTGGTAACATGTAGTAAAATACACTAGACTGGCTTCTTACTCACCTTTTCCGTGTGGATCCTGGAAGGTCTTGTGTGGGCACTGAAGGGGTGTTGAACAAAGATGTGCCATCTGGATCTGGAAAATTCTTACTCATAGCTCTTCTATCCTTGATGCCTCTGGCTTAAAGCCCTCAGGGTTGTGTTCATTTGGCTCTCCTGAGAACAGAAGTTCACAAAAGAATGCAGAAAGCAGGGAAAAATTCTTCACATGAGCCACCACACCCTCCACATGGGGCGGCTGTGTTCTGGGGCGTTGTTACAAAAGGCATGAATATAAAAACTGGTGTGGTGAAGCAAATAAAAATCTGTTTTGAGGTGGAAGAATGAACATGGGTGCTGTTCTGCCTGTTAACAAAATAGAGGCTTGGGATGGTTGTGGAACTGTTGGAATTGATACGAAGAGTCACTTGTTTAGCTGCCTGAAGGTGGAGAAGAAATGAGCCCTTGGCCTTATTTAGGACAAGAATTAGGACAAGGAGAGCAGGATCACAGCTGTGGGAAGAGCTGTGGATGGCACCAGCAATAAAAGGAGCATCCTTTCTCCCTCCCTGCAAGTGATGCCCCAATCAATCTGCAGCTGCTCTGAGGCAAAGCTTGTGGCCTGGTTTTCCTGCTGGATTGTGACTGAAGGAATTCCAGAGGAAGGAGAGTGCTGTATGGAGAGAGTGTCTGTGCCACTGGTTTCCACAGCAAGGGGCTGTGCAGGTTTGGGCTGTGGCTCAAGGATGTAACCTGCCCTGAGTTTTCCAGTCCCATGGCACGGACAAGTCTCTCTGGGAGGGGTGGGTGGGTCGCTGTGATTGTGGGCAGTTCCCTGCTCTCAGTAGCACTTTCCCACCACTGCCCAGCAGGAGGTTTGGGGTTTTTCTTTGTAACCTCTACACACAGCGAGAAGAGTAACACCAAAGCACCCACACGGAAAACCACTTGAGAAGGGACGTGTTGCCGTGAGCGCTGCCGGCACAGGTCACAGCTGGGACTCCATCAGTGCTTCAGGGATGCTTAGGGAGCAGGGAGTGCCCAGCACAGCGTGAAAAGGGACTCACTAAGGGCTGCCAGCCATAGGCACCACCACCAAATGGAAATGGCCCTCGCCTGCCTTCCCCAGCCCTCGTCTCACCGCAGAGCAGAATCCTCCCTGGCCCCTCCTACGCCGGGCTCCCCTGCTCACCCGCCCGTGCGAGGTTCTTTGAGAGCGGCTTCGCCTTTCTGCCGTGACTTTTCTTCGCGGATTTTATTTTTTTTCTTTTTTAGATGTGGCAGAACGAACTTTGGCGTGTGTTCAAGAGAAAAAATAAAGATAAGAGTGAGCAGCGCCTTTAAACAGAAAGGAGGCAAGATTAAAAAGCTATTGACTATAATTCAGCAGTGTGCCAATACAGATCAGGCTGTTATTTACAATTAGGTCTGTGTTTTCATTTCAGTAATGAGGAACGGTAAAGGCTGCTCCATTTGTGGGGCTTTTTGCGGTTTCTTTTTTTAAGGCACCGTGACCCCAGAATACTGACAGAGAATCTAATAATAATTCAAGCTAAACTACACACTGTTTTAGGCCAGACTTCTGGGCTGTTGGCCGTGTCTTGGTGTTTGTTTAGATGTTTCAGGAGGCATTGGCTTTGAGACAGGCATATTTTTTAATAAAAACCGAAGTTTTACTTTCTGATTGTCATGATTTTAAACTAGCTTCATCCTCTGTCTACATTCTGTTGGTGTTGAACCTGGAGATGCAACCTGAACTGCACGTGTACAGGGAGAAAATGATACTGAGGCATTTGACTCATCATGTTTTGAGACAATAAAGTTGAAGGCAGTGGGAATGTTCAGGAACCATGCAGGACAATCACAGTGCCCTCAGAGCTGAGCTGTGGCTGTGAGCCACAGGCTGTGAACAGTGCAGTTGGTCAGTGGTTTTGCTGCAGGATAGGGGATGAGCAGCTCTGGCATTGGGATTCAGCAGTTTGTGAGCCCAGGATGGAGCTGAACTAAGTCTAATTCCAGCCCTCCACTGGAGAGTGATCATATGGAGCCATGTGGAGACACCAATCTGTGAGTGTGCAAGAGAGAGGCAGGTACAAGCCTGTGTCTGGCAAAGGATTTATAAATGGTGGAGAAGGAGCTAAGCAAGGAAATGGGCACATGTGAGTGATGGGCCCTCCTGCTTCTGCCATCGTTGTGCAGTGAGCTTGGGGCAACACATTCCCATCTGTCCCTGGCAGTGTGTCCCTGCTGGATTACATGGGCCATTCTGTGCCTGGGAATCTGCTGCATTTTCCAGTTCCTTTAGGTAGGACACTGAGAGCTGACAGTGCTTCACTGTGGATTTTTGTCTGCCTGTGTCCCTGAGATGCTTGGCAATGGACAGGCTGGCCCTCCCCATCCTGCAGCCATTATCTCCAGCATGGAGCAGCAAGGCTAACAGGGACAGGAGTGTTACCTCAATAGTCAAAGGCATTAGAAATATCTTGGGGCTTCCTTTTTCCCTTCTGGCAACCAAACAAGACCTCTTGTTTGTTCTCAAAAAGAGAAGATTTTTTTGTCCTAGTGCCACAAGACACAGTTCTGCCAGGGCACAGTGACATGACTAGTAGGTTGTTTTCTGCTTGTCTGAGTTTAAGGGAATTTGCTAAGAGTCTTTCCTTTCTGATTTGCATGGCTAATATGCATGTCTCCTGCTTTTCATGCAGCCTTTTCTATTTTTCCTTTATGGCTAGCTGCAAGGTGACAGTAATCCCAGAGTGAAGCTGTGGCACAAGGTGCTGAAGGAGGAGTGCAGGTTGTGAAAGAACCATCAGGGTCAGAGCTCCTGCACACAGTCTTTGGTCCTCTCTCCACATCTTCATTGGGTGTTGGATGCATCACTGCCTGGATAAGGGCAAAAGTGCTCAGCTTGCTGGGGACATAGCCTGGACAGAGAGGTCTGGAGAAAGCCAGGTGACGAGTGTCTGCTGGAGAGCAGCGTGCAGAGAAGGAAGGGCTGGGAGGAGCCCCAGATAACAAATACAGGAAATGAGTTCAGCACAACCACAAGCTCACCATTGTTTGGGCCTCCTCTTCTGTACAGCCCTAGAGCTGAACAAATGCTGGTGCATTTGCAAGATGAAGTTAAGTCTGGAGTTAAAATCCCAACGCTTTGATACTGGCACTGGAAAGTTGAGCTCCAACAAGGAATCGCCACGAGCGTGGGAAGGAGATGTGGATATTTGGGGGTGCTCAGTTCTGCACAGGAAAATGGCTCACAAGGAAAGAAGGAGCCATTTTAGAAATTCCCTTGTAGAAAATAGGCAAATCATATTCTTTCCCATATTCCCATAAATCATATTCCTCCCTCTAAATGTTCTGGAATTAAGCAGG